TTGTCTTCGGCTTTAGTGCCATAGTTAGATATTCCCGAGATAGTGTTGTAAGTGCCTCGGGTGATAGGTGTTCATTTCAGCTCTCTCTCTCTCTCTCTCTCTCTCTCTCTCTCTCTCTCTCTCTCTCTCTCTCCCTCCCCATTATTATCTTCCCTTTCCTTTGTTTTCCTGTTTTATTCTCCTCGTTGTTATCTCTCTGGTGGTGATTGTGGTAGTGATGGCAGTGATTGTGGTAGTGGTGCTAGTGATGCTGTGATGTTCGTGTGTTAGTAGTTGTGCTGTTAGATGGTGGTGATGGTGATGGCCGTAGTATAGTGGTGATGGTGATGGCCGTAGTATAGTGGTGGTGGTGATGGTCGTAGTATAGCGATTGTGGCCGTAGTAGTAATAGTGGCCATGGTAGTGATAATGGTCATGGTAGTAATAGTGACCATGGTAATGATAGTGGCCATGGTAATGATAGTGACCATGGTAATGATAGTGGCCATGGTAGTGATAGTGACCATGGTAATGATAGTGACCATGGTAATGATAGTGACCATGGTAGTGATAGTGACCATGGTAATGATAGTGACCATGGTAGTGATAGTGACCATGGTAATGATAGTGACCATGGTAGTGATAGTGACCATGGTAGTGATAGTGGTCATGGTAATGATAGTGACCATGGTAATGATAGTGACCATGGTAATGATAGTGACCATGGTAGTGATAGTGACCATGGTAGTGATAGTGACCATGGTAATGAGAGTGACCATGGTAATGATAGTGACCATGGTAATGATAGTGACCATGGTAATGATAGTGACCATGGTAATGATAGTGACCATGGTAATGATAGTGACCATGGTAGTGATAGTGACCATGGTAATGATAGTGACCATGGTAGTGATAGTGACCATGGTAATGATAGTGACCATGGTAATGATAGTGACCATGGTAGTGATAGTGACCATGGTAATGATAGTGACCATGGTAGTGATAGTGACCATGGTAGTGATAGTGACCATGGTAGTGATAGTGGTCATGGTAGTGATAGTGGCCATGGTAGTGATAGTGACCATGGTAGTGATAGTGACCATGGTAGTGATAGTGACCATGGTAGTGATAGTGGTCATGGTAGTGATAGTGGCCATGGTAGTGATAGTGGTCATGGTAGGGATGGTGGTAATGGTAACTTCCTAATGAGAGAAGAATGTGTGGGTGTGGGTGTGATAGCCACGTAGACTTCACCCATAAAAGATCTAATTCATGTAATATCAACCCGAGAGAACAGTGGGAGGTGGCCTAACCTAACCTAACCTCAAATAAAACATGCTTGGGCAGTTCTTCCTTTTGAAATCCCTCTTGTACCTGGATTCGTAACTGTACCTGTAATCTTACTGTACCTGTATTCGTACCCCCAATTTTAGGATGGTGCACGCCTGTCGTACCTTAAGACCTACAGTAGATTCGGGTACTTGAGAAACGATTTAGTGTCTCTTGCGTTTAAGAGACCCGGAGGAGACAGTCTCTACAGGGGAAAAAGTCTCATTAAAGATTACAAAACCTGAATAGGAGTCGAAACTAAAGGTACTGAGACGAGATGGTGGAATACATCACGTGCATTAATTAACCCGAGCGCAAGGAGTGATTAGTTGATGACTTTGGACGGAGTAAAGATTACGGTGGGCATCATGTTGCACCAGACTGTAAAATCCTTGGCGTCTTACGAGTACCAAGTAACCAGGAGGTATTAGGGAGGTACTAGTGAAGCCGACACGAGTGTTACTCATAACAAAACCCGTATCCAAATTAACCTAACCTAACCTAATTTGGGGAGTTATTGGCAGGTAGTAGGCAGGTACCAAACAGGGAGGTACTACCGCCTGGGAAGATATTGGAAGCATAATGTGTTGTCTAATGGTAGACCCTGCTGCCATATGGCATCACGAAAATTTTGACCAAGTCCCACGTTGCTGATCTGACTTTCTGCCTCATATACACACAATTACAGGGTCTCAATTGTTTCTCTTACTTTGACAACACAACATACATAGTGTATATTGTTTCTCACTCTTGATTTTTTATTTTTTATTTATGATTATTATTATTATTACTTTATTTATATTATAATTTTTATTAATTATTATTATTATTATTATTATTATTATTATTATTATTATTATTATTATTATTATTATTATTATATTCTAGCCCCCAGGCCCTGATGTGGGTCGGTGACCTGTGCTCGGGTGGGCTAATCCCCTTAATAAAAAAGTAAAGTAAAATTACATCACATTTAGGAAAAATTACCTCCCTTAATTTTTGATACCTGATATTTAGTGTGAATAGATCTACACAGAGTCAGCTTACCAATCATGTTATATCCTGGCCTGATAACCTGTTTCACTTCATTCTAATTCACTTCAAAGAGTACCGGTATACGTGCTTAAAGACCTTAGTTGTTGAGGTACAGATATACATGCAACTATACCCTGGTGTAAACGATGCCAATTAACAAGGGTTTATCCTCTGGTGTTGTCCTTAATGTATGGGGGGGGGGAGAGGACGGGCTACTGCAGCTGTATGGGTTACCTGCCAGGGAGAGGGAAACGGGAGATGGGGGTAGGCCAGGAACGCCCTCTCCCTTATTGGTTTTTCATCGGTATGCGCCTCGAGGCCCTGACGCCTAATTTGGGGTTCTGATGTTTGAGTCCTTTATTTTTCTCGCCATTCTCGACTTCCATTGTTTTTAGTGTAAGTTGTGGTGGGGGTGGTGATAGTTGTGGAGGTGGTGGCGGCGATGTTGATGATGATGGTAGTGGTGATGGTGTGTGTGGTGGTATATGGTAATAAGATGGTGTGTGGTGGAGGTGGTGTATGTTGGTGTGTGGTGGTGATGAGTAGTGATGGTGTGTGGTGTTGTGGACGATGGTAGCAGCGGCGGCGGCGGTTCGCGTCCCTCCCTGGTCCTTCCGTGTCTTCTTAATCCTCGGTCGTCTTGCAGTGACCAAGTTGTTGTTCAAGAATTCCATCACGAGGACGACCCAGAGGGGGAGGTGGCGGGTCTGGCCTGGGACGTGGTCAAGAGAGTGCATGTCTACTGTAGAAGGACGTGATCACCAGAGTGCACGGTGCCGTACGCTCGTCTTCAGGATGTGCGGCGGTGATTCCTCAGGTCGGAGCGTCGAAACAATATTGATCCTGCCAATCGGAGGAGTTGGAGGAGCGTCGAGAAGGTCGACCACAAGGTTGACCAGCGAGGCAGAGTGACCCTTGGAGGGCGACCCTCGCACCCGGTAATGGCCCTTAAATCACCAAGCTCAGAGTCACCAAAACCGCAGAAGTTCCTTGCTGGAGCGTCCCTCTCTCTCCTCAGGATGCCCTGCTGCCCTGCCCTCCCTAGCATCAACCCCAGGTGCACTCCACCCTTTCCCTAGCAAGCCCAGGACACCTTTACCCTTTGATAACTTCCGTCTCTCTTCCTCCATAGACCAATAAGATAAAGTTCTTTCTTTCGATTGTTAACTGAGCTCAACTTCACTCTCCCACCACTAACACTACCCCTCCCCTCACCACCACTAACACTACCCCTCCCCTCACCACTCTCCCACCACTAACACTAACCCTCCTCACCACCTCCCACCCCTCCCTCACCACTCTCCCACCACTAACACCACCTCCTCACCACCATTCTCCCCACCTCCCTCACCACTTTCCCACCACTAACACTACCCTCCCCTCACCACTCCCACCCCCCCCCTCACCACTCCCACCCCTCCCTCACCACCTCCCACCCTCCCTCATCACTCTCCCACCCCATCACACAGACCTCCCACCTCACCACTCTCCCACCACTTATACTACCTCCTCACCACCTCCCACCACCCATACCACACCCTCCCTCACCACCTCCCACCACTTACACCCCCTCCCCTCACCACTCTCCCACCACTTATACTTCCCCACCACTCTCCCACCACTTATACTACCCCACCCCTCACCACTCTCCCACCACTTATACTACCCTCCCTCACCACTTATACACCCCACCCCTCACCACTCTCCCACCACTTATACCACCCCCTCACCACTCTCCTCCACTTATACCACCCTCCCCCTCACCACTCTCCCACCCCCATCACAGAACCTCCCACCTCCCTCACCATCCCACCACTTATACCACCCTCACCACTCTCCCACCCCTATCAATACAGCACTCTCCCACCCTCCCTCACCACTCTCCCACCACTTATACCACCTCTCCCCTCACCACTCTCCCACCCCTATCAATACAGTACCTCTCCCACCACTTCCCTCACCACCTCCCACCACTTATACCACCCTCCTCACCACCTCCCACCCCTATCAACAGTACCTCCCACCACCTCACCACTCTCCCACCCCTATCAATACAGTACCTCTCCCACCACTTCCCTCTCTCATCACTCTCCTAACCCTCTCAGTATACCTCTCTCATTCCTCCCTCACCCTTCCCTCACCACTTTCTCGCACCTCTTAGTACAGTAACTTTCCATCACCACTTTATAATATTATCATCACCTAAGACATTACAGTAAACATTAGTTATGGTTTGTTTCCTGTACGTGAACACTTAAGATTTGCAGTCACCTTGTATGCCACACACCAACGTCTTACCCCTGCCATGGTTTAGGTCCCTGTGTGCCGTCTTTGCGTCTATTTTCGTGTGTTTGTCTCCGCAGGGTAATGGGAAGGGACCTGGGAATGTTCTACGTCTGTCCGTCTGTCCATCCAACCATACCCGACTGAATTGTTAAGTGTGGCTAATGAAGTCGTCGCGTGTTTTATATTTCAGTACTTCGCCAGACCATTGATTTGGGAGTCCACGGCACTGCACACACTCACACGGGAGTTTATACACACACACACACACACACACACACATACGTACGCACATACACAGATAAAACATACACTCCTTGGTAAAGATAATTGATGTTGCTGTATCTCACAACTTGTGTATCTTTCTCTTACAGTGCGGGAGGAACGAGGGTGTAGTGTCGGGCATGGAGCAGCACCAGCAGGACGAGGAGGAGGAGGAGATGATGATGATGGATGGAGGAGGAGGAGGTGGTGGTGGTGGAGGGCTGGTGACGGGGGAGTGTCGAGACATCCCACTCAAGCCGGACATGACGGTCGTGTCCGAGGGTGAGGACATCTTGGCCAAGTTAAGGGAGCAAGTGTCCGCCACCACCCTGTTAGCCCACAAGAGAGACTGTGACACCACACTCTCCACCCCTCTCCCACCCTCCTACTCTCCCACACACCACAACAACAATAACAACAATGTGCACAGCCTCTACGACCGCCTCCACTCCCTCCTGCAGGCCAAGAAGAAGACTGAGGTAGGTCGTGACGTGTTGATCTTACACCCCCTTTACTGTGTATGAAGGGAGGTATATTGATTTACAACCCTCCCTCTCTCCCTTCCTCTCGCTGACTTTCCCTCCATTCCCCCTTCTCTCCTTATTTCCCTTCCTCCATCCCCCAGTCTTCCTTTCTTTCCCTCCCTCCCTCCCTCCCTCCCTTCCTCCCTCCCTCCCTCCCATCCTCTTTCCCTCCGTCCCTCGTTTGTCCTACTTTCCTCCCTCCCTCCCATTCTCCCCCTCTATCCTCCTCCCCTCCATTCTCCCTTTCTTCTACCTACCCAAGTTTATTCGATAGATTAAGCCAAAAAATTATCCAGCACAGAGAAATTAAATATCGAGAGTTTGTTGATAGCCATCTTGGGTTTACCTGATGCTAATTGGCGAGCGGTCTACCTGGACGACACCTGTGAGGAGCTTTTATAATCTCATTAACACAACTCTTAGTTTTTAAGTTGCTAGTGTATTGTGTTGTTAAAGGTAACGTTGTCAAAACTGTTTGTGTGTAAGTGTGATTGTGAAGTTGTGTTTGTGTGACAGTGTGGTGGTGGTGGTGAAATTGTTTGTTTGTTAATATGGTGCTTGTGGTTATATGGTGTTTATGTAAGATATATGATAGGAGAGTCTTCGAGAATTAGGTCAAGGACTAAAATGTAAGGGCGAGAGTCAATGTTATACCAGCGTGATGGATGAATTAAATCGACGAAAGAAAGGAGGTAGTACATAGGAGTGCGGTGGCCGAGTGTTTACACCTCTCGCCTCCTGTCCTAAGGGTCACTGGTTCGATCCCAGGGCACCCCCAAATGCACCTAACTGCAAATGGGTACCTAACCTTTTAATGGGGAAATAAAGGCAGTCGAGTACAGAGACGGCCATGCTGCCTATTTGAGTACAGGAAGATTCATATACAGTTTACTATGTCTACACTGTCCTTAACGGGCGGTAGTACATTTAGGACCTACTACCAAGGAGACTTTGTATGGCCCCAACCGCTCTGGTCCGCCGCCGGCAGCCACCCGGGTCCATAAAACGTGATGGTCCCACATTAGCGAATACGGCATCCCCAGTTTTTAGTGACTTTTATATGTAGTGTTGATTGTTGGGGTCACGTGATGATGATGTTGAGAGAATGGTGAGGGGAGGGTGGTGATAGTGAGGGAGTGTTGATTGTTGGGGTCACGTGATGATGATGTTGAGAGAATGGTGAGGGGAGGGTGGTGATAGTGAGGGAGTGTTATTGTTGGGGTCACGTGATGATGATGTTGAGGGGAGGGTGGTGATAGTGAGGGAGTGTTATTGTTGGAGTCATGTGATGGTGATAGTAGTGTTGAGCTGATAGTGTTGGTGAAGGTGTGTTGATTGTGTTGGTTACGTGATGGTGAAGGTGACTGATTTAGTGACAATGAAGTGAGTTGATTTAAGTTAAAGGGTCTTGTGATGGTGAGGCTATGGTGAAGATGATGAATGCAAGGTGATGGTTAGTGATGTTGAAGTGACAGTGTGGTGATGGTGAGAAGATAGTGAAAGGGGTGAGTGTGGAGGGAGTGATTTTGTCAACTGGGACGACTCCTCTACTTAAGGCCGAGTTTCAATGCTATTTCGAAGCCATAAAGACCGCCTCCTTTGTGCGGTATTTAGCTGTTCTCTCTCTCTCTCTCTCATTACTACTGTATTTAACCCTTGTCTCTTTCAACCCGATTCTCTATGTCAATCACAACGAGAGAGAGAGAGAGAGAGAGAGAGAGAGAGAGAGAGAGAGAGAGAGAGAGAGAGGCCACTGTTTACATCTTACAAGTGCGCCACTCACCAAGCGTAACCCACAACATTACCACTGAACATCACGTACCACTCACCAAGCATTACCCACAACACGTACACCCAGCACCATGCTCCACTGAAACCAACACCCACGACGACACCACGCTTCACTGAAACCACGCCCCCCCAGTGACTCTACGCTGCACTGAAACCACAACAATAGAAAGATATACGAAATCATGCCCGTACAAATACCACATGTTACTTAAACCACGCCTACAACACCATATTCCACTGAAACCGCGCCCACAACAACACAACTGAAACCACGCCCACAATGAATCCGTCCAGAACTACACCCACAAACACACCCTGTCATAACACTGAGAATGAGAAGCAACATAATTCACAGGTTCACAGGATAAAATTTTTCTACCCATCCATACATCTGACTAGAGAAATCCGGCACCTAGTGTGTAGTGTCAGGTTGATGTTAACATGTTAATCTCTGCTACAGGTGGAGCTGGAGGGTAATGTTAACATGTTAATCTCTGCTACAGGAGGAGCTGGAGGGTAATGTTAACATGTTAATCTCTGCTACAGGAGGAGCTGGAGGGTAATGTTAACATGTTAATCTCTGCTACAGGAGGAGGTGGAGGGGGACGAGGACTCGCGCGACCTGGTGCTCCGGGCGGAGGCGTTACAGAGACAGCGGGAGTCACTATTGTCGTCACCACAGGCACTCATGAACGCCATGAGGGGCGGCGGGCCACCCTCGCTGGTGCCGCCCGGGCCACACTTGCCCTTTATCCCCAGTACGGTCGGCCTGCCGCCCACCTCCCAGATGCCACCCACACCCGGGTCGGCAGGATCAAGAGACTCATCTGGCAACGGTACCCGCACGCCCTCCCACACGCCCGAGCCTCACCAGAGTCAGCAGTCCTGGAGCTTTGAGGAGCAGTTCAAACAGGTGAGTTAATTACCTTAATTATATTACCTTCCTTACCTGGGTGTGCTACTTTCGTTACCCGAGTGTGTTACCTTACTTACCTGGGTGTTACTTTACCTTCCCATCAGTTCGGAATCTCAGTTGTGTACACACGGACTTTGGTCGTGACAGTTGTGTCCGTGTGATTCTGGTCCTCATCCTTAGCTGAACCAGAACCACGACGACACGAATGAAGATGCCATTATTCTTATTAATTTACCTACCGGGAGAGACTTATTATATTGGACACTGTTTCTCGGTATGGAACATGGCGGATCTGTTTCTTGGTATGCATCAAGGTAGGCCATGTAATATTTTGTTCACCGCCGCGGGTATTGTGACTACTTATATTGCAAGTACTTCAGTTTCGTTGGTTAACCACGAGTTTATGTGTGCTTGCGTGTTGAAGCTTTGAAATGTTGAAATGAAGAGTATCACCCAGTGTGTCTTGATATGAGAACTCACCTTGTACCCATCAGACTGCAGGGTGCTGAGCGTACTCCTTGTGGTGTGTCCCAGTACCGAGTTACAACACCAACAGGTACCGAGGCAAAAATCTGTGCGTCTCAGGTGAGCGACGTAGGTAATTATACCATACGTTACTCATAAGTGCTTACGATTACCTCCCTGTCCGCACCCAACCACAGGTATTCTGTTGTCGTTGTCACCTCCCTTCACCAGGACCTGTCTTCCCTTGTGTCTCTCTCTCTCTCTCTCTCTCTCTCTCTCTCTCTCTCTCTCTCTCTCTCTCTCTCTCTCAACTTTCCTATCGCCCCTCCCATAGTTCATTCCGTCCCACATCGTAGTGTCTCTCCCATCTGTCCGTCACGTCTACTACTGTGTTGGTTGTCGGTCATAGGTCCCTCATCCTATTAGGCGCCAGTTTAATCTATCGTAACCATTAAGATTGGAACCCGGTATAGGATTAGAGTTCCTTTCTGCTGTCATGATCTAACCTTCCTCGTCACACAGCTGCCTCTCTTGCCAACATCCTCCTGACGTTGTTCGATTATGTAATATATTCTTCACTAACAACTATGGTGTCCCCTAATGGTTTCCATGTTCTGTGTTGTTACCGAAATTCCACTTTTTTTCCCGAAGTTCCTGTACAGTGTTGACAGATTCCGCGTTCCTTGGTGTTCCCCGCAACATTTTGACGTTCTTTGAGGACTCCGCGCTGTGGGACTCTCCTCTGCGTCTAAACACTGAGTAGTCTGAATGCTAGAGATAATAAGAGATTTTACGGCACTTGGTTCGCGTGAGATGATTTTGAAGCTGCAGGATTCAATTAAGATACGTGGAAGACGAGATATTGGTAGGTCGAGGGTACATTTTTATTTACGTACGTTATTCTGTCTCAGGTTAAGCCTCTCTCTCCTGGTGTCACCACACAGAGGTCATTGTCCCCCTGTGCTCTGTACTTGAAAATTTTACTTTTTTCCTGAAGCTTATAAACAAAAAAAAAAAAAATGTATCCACACTCTCAGGGTCGGGGACGCTGTGCTAACGTAGTAAGAGAAGATGTTGTCTCACCTCGGCAACTCATTTTTGACAATTATATGGAAAACTCCGCGTAGTGGATACGAGATCTCTTGGACGGCCCGCGGAATTGTGGCTCTTCCTCTTTGGTGACGCAAGGGCGATGTTGGCTTGGCGCGAAGCTGTGTGGGGTCGGTCCTTGTGTCTGGGTGACACAGGGGCGAGGGTGGTATCTCCAGGTGGTGTGGGTTGCGCCCCTCATCACTCTCACATCGATTATGATTGGTTTATGAGCGGTGGTGTGTGAGGGCTGGCAGACAAACCTCGTCCCTGTGAGTGGAGCGTGTAAGGGCGATATCAACGTGACGGACTCTTGTGTCATACAGCCTCGTTGCCCTGCGGTGCTCGGGTCATGATATGCTAATGAAGCAGCAACGTGTGTCAATCACTGACGTGCAGCAGCAACACCGACTGCCACAGTAACAGCATTAAGCTGCTCCAACTACGGCAGGACATGATGATACTGCGATTGAGAGCAGCGTTACTAACAGCTGGTAGCATGACTGTTGCCTTGACGACACTGATAAGGCTAATAGCTCTCACTGCAGTAACTACAACGACATCAGCTATTGCTACATTACCTATAATAACAACGCTAACAACTACAACAAACAACCTACAATAAGCAACAAGAAACACACCAAACAACAACGTACAGCAACACACACAACCCATACAACAAAAACAACAGCCTGTAGGAACAACGCAGTGGTTCATGTGCTGAGCTGGCGATCAAGGTACAGTAGTTCCAGGCTCGATCCCCAGTACGTGTGATTAAGGTAGGGGGAGCTGCCTCACCACAAGGAGAGTGTATTTTAAGAATTTGTCCTTAGTGCTTCACGATGGATATAGCCCGAGGTTGGTCTAGCCTGGGCTGGGTCCAGTAACCTGGTGCCTTTGATAAGGTCTAAACAAATCACTGGACCTAACCCTGAGGACCTTACGACGTGGGTTAGGGCCAGAGAGGTGACTGGACCCGGCCACCCTCAGGTATCGTTAAGGGCCCGACAGGTTACTGGACCTGACCCTGGCCGTCCTCGGGCTCCACCAAAGGCCCATCAGGGTACTGGACTTGACCTCAGCCGCCCTCGGGCACCAGTAAGGGCTGAGGAGGTTAGTGGCAGTTGACTCGTGGCCCCAAACGACCACAAGAGTGCCAACTGCACCCGTGATGTGTTATTGTGTATTGTTGTTCCTCCGCCGCCATGTTGGCAACCACCAAATGTCATAGAGAATGGGGAGTTGATGAGGGTAAACTGCCACCGCCGCGCAGCCGTGATCACTTGTTCGCGTTTTACACCGATTTCCTGTTTTTTACAGGTTATTCTTAACGATTGTGTATCGTAGCTTTTTGCTCAGTAATAATTACCTTCCAGGAACATTATGGTGCTTGACTTTTTACTGCTTGGGTCGAGGCAGCGCCTAGAGCCTGCATATTTAGTTTCTCTTGTGGCGGGGTGTAGTGGTGGAGGGGGTGTAGTGATGGCGGGGTGTAGTGATGGCGGGGTGTAGTGATGGCGGGGTGTAGTGATGGCGGGGTGTAGTGATGGCGGGGTGTAGTGGTGGCGGGGTGTAGTGATGGCGGGGTGTAGTGATGGCGGGGTGTAGTGGTGGCGGGGTGTAGTGAGCGAGGTGTAGTGATGGCGAGGTGTAATGATGGCGGGGTGTAGTGATGACGAGTATCCCTCCTACTCGCGGCTAGAGACTTGACTCAGTACTCTCCCACTTTTGTAAGCGCCAATACAGGCAGAAGTTAAGCGAACAATCGTCTGGCGTAAATTTCTTAACACTGTCAACCAATCTAAACCCGTCGAAATCAAATGTATCTTTAACTAGCCAAACCTAACCTAAATTAATGTATTCTAAGCAAACTAGTCCCTAATCTAGCCTAACCTATACATTGACCTAACGTAACCTTACTTAAGGAATACGAGTACAACCTAACCTAACCTAACCTAACTAGCACTACATTAGGTTTCCTCAACACTAACCGTAAATATGCAAATTACTATTGAAAACTAATCGTCTTCCTTTACTCTCTATTTTCTCCCTTGGCAGCAGGCAGGTCATGAAGGTCAACTATGCCAGCTATGTTATTGTTATGAGGTCAACAAGTGTACCGAACCGGGTCGTTGTTGTCTTGCATAATGAGTGGGTAGAAGAGGAGGTTAACTCAGAGGTGGCAAGGGCGGTGTTGGTGTAATAACAGACATTGATTGTGTGGGTCTGTCGTGGTTAAGTAGCAGGGCTGATGATCGAGGTGGTGTTAGTGGTGGAGGTCGTGGTAGTGGTGGTGGAGGTGTTGGTAGTGGTGGAGGTCGTGGTAGTAGTGGTAGTGGTGGTGTTGGTAGTGGTGGAGGTCGTGGTAGTGGTGGTGGAGGTGGTGTTAGTGGTGGAGGTGGTATTGGTGGAGGTCGTGGTAGTGGTGGTGGAGGTGGTGTTAGTAGTGGTGGAGGTGTTGGTATTGGTGGAGGTCGTGGTAGTGGTGGTGGAGGTGTTGGTAGTGGTGGTGTTGGTGTTGGTCTCGAGGGGCGGTGGTGATATTATTGCTTGTTGTGATGTTTGTTGTCGTAGTTACGCTCTTCTCTGTCTCCCTCTGTTTTTGCCATTGTCTCTCGGTCTCTCTCTGTCCCTCTCTCTCTTTCCTTCTGTCTCCCTCTGTCTGTCTGTCTCTCACTCTCAAGAAGGATAACTTACACAGTACATACAGAATTAATATGTATTTGTCGTGGGGTTATTCCAGAAGTGGGTAAGGGGTGCTGGGGTCAGGGGTGAGGGTCGGGGGTACTGGGGTCAGGGGTGAGGGTCGGGGGTACTGGAGTCAGGGGTGAGGGTCGGGGGTGAGGGTCGGGGGTACTGGGGTCAGGGGTGAGGGTCAGGGGTGCTGGGGTCAGAGGTAAGGGTCAGGAGGTCCCTGCCGTTATCAGTATAATATTCAGCTCAACTTCCTCCCGATTTATAGAAAACGAGAAGACGGGACAAAGGCGCTAATGACTCGAACTGTGATAACAGGACTTGATGGATGACGACACGGCCGTGTCCAGACCCTGGTGGACACAGCCATGTCCTGCCTAGTGGACACGGTGGTGTCCTGGCTGGTGGACACGGCGCTGTACTGCCTGATGGACACAGTGGTGTCCTGGCTGGTGGACACGGCGCTGTACTGCCTGATGGACACGGCGTTGTCCTGCCTGGTGGATACGGTGGTGTCCTGCTTGGTGGACACTGCGGTGTCCTGGCTGGTGGACACTGCGCTGTCCTGCCTGAAGGACACAGTGGTGTCCTGGGTGGTGGACACAGCGCTGTACTGCCTGATGGACACGGCGTTGTCCTGCCTGGTGGAATTGAATTGAATTGAAACAGTTTATTTAGCCAGAAAAACACCGATACAGAGTGGATAATAATAACAATATTAACATGGCTGAGCCAGTTGAGAACCTGAG